CAATATTTAATAAAATCCTTAATTTCCACTGGTGTGACCCACGTGACACATTTTCTCTTAGCATGTCATCATCCCTATTTTATCCACCACCTCTCGGAAAAGTATGAAATTAAACGTAAAATACTCTATAAAATCGTTATTGCTCAAACAAACCATAATTTTTAAAGCCTTCAATTTTGTTTGGTTACAGAGCTTTTAAATAGAAAATCAGACCCCACCTACCACATCCTCTTTCACAATTCGTTGATGGTTCTCTCTTACGTTTCATTATATATTACCTATAACCAATAGAAAGTCGAGGTTTTCATCTATCAAATGACGTATTGTCTAACATGTTCTGAACCATTAAATGTCAATTTCATCAGAGTACAAGATTCGATCCTGTGGGAAAGTTAACGACTAGCTTGAATGAATTTGCAAGGGCTCTTGTCACATAGTTAGAAAGCCAGGATAATTTTGAGAGGTAAGTGAATTTGTCTACTTTTTGCATGTTCTTAATCTGTATTCTTTGGTGCATTATTTAATTAAATAAAAATTATTAAGTGCATTACTATCTATAGTATAAAAAATTAGGATTAACTTTCTTCGAAAACCTGAGAGCAAGAAAAAAAGAAGATTGGGTAAGTACTTTATATCTTGTTTTTCATATTTATTCTTTATTTATTATTATAAAAGTAACTAAAATCCAAAAATACGGATCTTTTTAAGTTATTTAAGACTAGATTAGGTAGAATAAGTAATAATAACATAATTAAAATGGTTCATGAGGCACACGTGAGCAGCTCATGGGTGATGTAATGTGATAGCGTAACGTGAACTGCACATTCCCCGAGTGATTTAGAACTTATAATGGCACAGGTAGTAGTTATACACGGTTGAAAGGGCAATAAAACAATGAAATTTAATTATAAATAGATGTATACTGTTACGAACTTAGAACTACTTAGGATAAATGGATGTAGTTTCGTGTCAAAATTTGAAGTCATTCTAGTAAAAAAAAAAAGGTTTATTTGATTGTGTTTTTTTTGGTGGTTACAAGGTTGGTCAAATTTAATTGTGTACAAAGAGGTCACGTGGTCAGTCAAATTGACCGAGCCTATGTTGAGAGAGTAATCACAGGTAACCGAGTATAGTAGACATCAAATATTAATTTTGAGAAAATTCCCCAAAATATTAGGATTGTTTTTCATTAGTGACTGAGACTTTTGTTTTTAGAAAACTAATATATGTTTCTAAGTGTTATAAAATGTGACTGTTTCTTTTACATTGAAATGCTATTAAAATAACCCTCAAATAAGAACTTAATATCATTATATTAGAAATATGATTATAAATGTCACCAAAACACATTTACAGGAAGCTGTTGATCGTGTACAAGAACTTCTTAGCCAAGAAAGACTGGTTGGTGTTATTGATGACCGGGGAAAGTTTATTCACATCACCAGAGAAGAATTGGAATCTGTTGCACAGTTTATTCACCTTCGAGGTCGTGTATCTATTACTGAACTCATGGAAAGCAGCAATAATCTTATAAACCTTCAACCAGACCACACAGAAGCCATTTTTGTACAATGAATGAATGTTATTTAACATAAAGAAATGGAAAATTATCATGCGTGAGATGAGCTTTTAATAAATTCAAACCAAATAAAAGCTTATGCAGTTGGGAAAAAATGTTGAATGTTACTTTCATACTTATAAAAAACAACATGACATTTAATTAAAAATATATAAATGTATATTTTTTGTACAGAGGAAATTATGTAACCTCCTTAGTAAATCTCCTAACTAGTATATGGTTAGTTTAAGCTTATTAAAAACACAATTAGGCAAAGGCTACTGTTCAACAGGAATTGGTTCCAGGAAAATTAATTACAGTATTATTTGTAGGTATAACTTATAACTCACATGTATAAATACATAGTAATAACTTAAATGGAAAACTAGGATTGATTACAGAAATAGCAGCTACATTAAGAATATAATCAACAGTTATGTAATTAATTTTAAATGTTCTTGAGATGATCATAATTAAACCCAATTTATTTGTCACAACTGCGTAATGTGATAAATTCATATGTTAGGTGATTGATAGAGTTATGAATTAATACATGGTAGTTAACTACAAATTCCACATTTTGAGCTTTGTAATAAATTATTTAGTAAAGTTAAAATCTGCTGTTATGAGAAACTAACATAAAACCATAGTGACATTTTACTGATACTGTATTCTTCAATATCAATAAAAACTAGATTGTAACTTGCTTCAGTTTTAAGAACTATTTTTTGTATTATAAAATGTTTCATGCTGTTGTGTTTAAACTTTGAGTACTTCATAAAGAAGTAGTATTTATTTCAAACAAAAAGTCAAGTTCACAGGAGAAAAAATGTAATAATTTAAAGCTTTATTTCTTATAACCAAGTAAGGAACAACATTCTTGAGTATAAAATAACTGAAAATGTTATCTGCAGCACTTAAAGTTATCAACTTTGCTTGGTGCAACACAATAGCAAAATTGTATTTTTATTTTTGAAAACAGCTAAGCATAATACTTTACTTCACAATTACAAAAGCACTTACTTTGTAATAGCCCAATAGTGTATGGCGCTATTATTGTTTGAAATGTATTTTCTAACTACACATAATTGAAAGCCTGAATGCAGTATTATGCAAAATAAACCTCTATTCAATATTGGTTGAAAGTTGAAACACTATGAAACTCATTCTCAAAAAGTGAACACATTTCTTTGTAACTGTAGAGATAAATAAGCTTTGTTGTTCACTGTACTAATCCACAGTGAAGCGACACATTTCAACAGTATACACCATTATTTCAGATGCAAATGACTTCTTAGGAAACTGTTTAAATAAGGCTGTTACATGTTAGGCTTTACAGATCACACACATCTACCAAATCTAAAATCCTTCATTTACTTGTCTAAAAGTAAAATTTGCTTGAGCAAATATTCCACAAAGTGAAAGACAATTTATCACATGATAGTTTATTCTTTAATGATATTTATAATACTTAACAAATCTGTTTAGCTCTAGAGACAAAATAAATCCTTCTCATTAATCTTGTAAGTCTTTGCTGTGATATAATTATTATTTTTCTCTTCATGAATTATTTTGGTTCTCTTAGAAACTCTAATTGATTTTTGAAGCATTAAAGTTACAAGTCAGGCATGGATTCCCTTCTGTACTGTAGCCCATGCCAGAAACTTACTAAAACCACACTCAATAACATAACACCAGCAACCAATTCTAACACTGCCAAAACAATAATTTTAAGGCTGTCGAAAAACATGATTAATACAAGGTCAACTGTAACCATTGCTATGGTGGTTGTAATGCCTAATGTCCATGATGCTAACACACAGAAAGCTTCTTCACATCTAACTTTTTTGAACCCTTTTCCCCAGCCCTCAAAGTCACTGCCAGAATATTCTCGCAGAATGAACAAACTGGCCAGTGCTGCTTCTGTCATGAAAAATCCACACAGAATTCCTGTAAATAGGTAGAGTTCAGGCCCATCTTGCACTATTGTTGCCCCAAGGATTCCTAAGAGTAGTGTCACAAGTCCAACACCAATTTGCAATGACCTTAATAACCATACATGTTTTTTATGGTTATATCGTTTGTCTTGAACATATTTTTCATTCAAGTCTTGATCATTTTGTTCACAGTTTTTCATGATACAGCTTTAATATAATCTAGACAAATAAAAATATTGTAAAATGAAATGTGTTAGTTTATACCAGGTAACAAAACTCATACCAAGACAAGCTGAAAACTCAAATTCCTCATAGTTTCTATATATAAAACAGAGGATAAAAGTTGTTACTTTATCATATCACTCCCATGTTATAATCCTTTAATGCTATGACTGGAACATTTATAATAATTCCTTCTCAATCTGAGAATTTGTAAAAGAAACTTCATTAATAAAAAAAATTAAAGTGAATCTCAAAGGAATAAATTATTTTTCCCAACTACAATGCTCACTGAACTATATCTTATATTTACAGTTGATATCCAGTGAATTTAACATCCTCAATGTGTCAATGCTGCACAATTTTAAGTCCAAACTTTACACTAAAACCCTTTAGTTTTTAGTTGCAGTTAAAAGCCACACTCAAAGTGTTAATTATAGAGAAGTGGGGTTACTTTGAAAGAAAAGATCTGGTATTAAAATGGAAGCTCACTGCATAGAAAGTTATATACAGGTACCAAAATATCAAACTTATGCATCCATAGAAGTTCAATGTCAAGTGAGTGTTCTCATATACAAAGTACCAGTTAAACCTAAAACAGCTTGACATAGAGTCAAAACAGAAACAAACTTTTAATATAACCTGAATTTTGCAATGCCAAGAATAAAACATTACATTTAGTGTATTTAATTTCACATTTAAGAGTTATAATTTTCCTAAACTGAAAATATATTTCCAAACATACTTACCTCCGCTGACACTAATAGCTATTTCTCGATCTTCATCTGATGTTGTGTTTACTTGCTCCAGTCTTTATATATCCCACTCGGCAATACCTAATTTGCGATACTTTATGCCGGACCTCACACGCTTTTTTTGCAGGTACTGTATATAAGCACTGTATGCAGACAATAAAATCACTTTTTCAAGACTTACCACATTCCAGTCACTAACATTAGCTCTTAGTTGAGACGGAGAGTGTCAGCGGAAGTAAGTATGTTTGGAAATACATTTTCAATTTAGGAAAATTATAACTTCCAAAACATACATGCCTCCACTGACACTAATAGTTAGAATCCCACATTGAGAAGGCAGAGGGGCTGGTGAGGGCAGAGATCATACAGAAAGTGTCTGCAGAGAACAAATATGTACCACAAGAAGTGGTATCAAAGTGGGGAACCCAGCACTACATCCAGAACAGGTATGTTCTTCACACAGAACTACAGAAAATTGAAAAGGGTGGAATATAATACAAGTATGATGGACCAACCCTCGACCAAACAGCCGATGTTCCACAACTCGGGTTGGACTTAAGGGGTCATGGTACCCATATCCCACGTTGGTGGCCAGAGCAGTTGGACCACATATATATACATCTTTGTGAAAGGATCCCTACCAGTAACCACAAAACGATGCTTTTCAAACCCCTGGATGTATGAAAGAAAGAAAGCAACACCAAAATGGGCAATCCTTCTGATCAACCTGAAGAAGTCCAAAAGGCAACATTCCAGGTCTGGATTGATAGGATCATATGCCATACTTCACCAAAGTCCATAACTCATACCATTTGTATTTACAAACATAAGTCTTTACTCCCCCACCAAGTGGGCATGGAGAATTCCGCTTACCCATGGAATTAAGGAGAGGATGTGGAACACTGTCCCACCAAGGGCCAAAGATGGGACTACATCGCATTCGGACTTATGAGGAGATAGTGGACCCCTTGCATGAAAAACATAAGACTGACAGTGTTCATAAAGGATCCTAGCACTCCCCCACTGGATAGCTAAATGTCAAATCTAAACTTGTTTTATGAGCACACTCCTCCATAGGTTGGTCCTGCTCCTACCGACATCTGGGAAAAACTTCCAGGGACCCAGGTAGGAGTGTCCCCAACTTCGCCATTTTCTCCGAGAGTGAAGAAAACTCAACACTCCATAGATAAATCCTTTATCCACCACCCTAGCAACTGGGTATGGTAAGGACTCCCAAGCTTCAATAGTAGCTAGTAGAAGTAAGGGGGGAACATAAGCATTGGGGAGTCCTGAGGAACAGGTCTTCAGAGACAGTGCAACAGGTGAACCATGTTCCCTAATTTTTAAAAGCAAAGTGATCTTGAATGATTCAGCTCTAAGATCAGCAAGAACTGGCAAAATTCCCTTTAGCTTTACTCATGATAGTCCATGAGTAGTGGTCCATTAGAAATAATTTAATATGATATCACCAACCTGAATTGCATCCAGATGGTCTAATGGAACACCTCATCTCAACAGAGCACATTGCAACCAGGAACTGATATAAAGGTTGCTATTGCTGAATTCAAATACAAGCATAACCCAACTGGGCAACACTCGCCACTGAGTGGGATCCAAAAATCAAGAGGGACCCTAGAAGAGAAAAGAACAGTAACTGTAAGTCAGATAACACGTTACTCACCACCCTGTTAAAATGTAGTGTAGTCAACACAGCCACAAGGGGAGACAAAGTCCCTCCGAAGAGGAAACTGCCAGATCGCAAAGGTAATGAGATATGAACGTGTCGGGAGGAATCCACCTACTGGCCCACAAAATATCCTCTGAGAAGAAGGATGGAAATGATTAAGAGAACCAATAGAACAAGGAGGGGATGAACATGCAGAAGTACAAGTGGAAGTAGAATAGGGTCGAGCAGCCAAAGAAGAATGCAAACGTGCTGTATCAACTCTGGCTTCTAAAGATTCTGGAATTCCAGCAAATAAATAGGGCCAAAAAAAAAGGCGTTTCCCACAAATCTTAAAGGGCATAAGAAGGTCAGTGAATACGCTCCAAAATGCATCATGACTCAACAAGTCCCAGCAACAGACTAACCACGACACCAAGGCAAGTCCTGAATAGGACAAACATGTCATAATAGTGACCAATAAATGACCCAGTTCGTCGTCAAATTGTTGAGGAGATCGATGATATGCTTCAGACAAAAGT